TTCCATATAGTTTTTCTTCATAGTTTTTCCTGTTCTATATCATTGATTTCTGCTTTTTATTGCTTTTCTTCTTCTTACTACTAGAATGGCTAAAATTAAAAGGACTGACAATGCCAACTGTTGGAGAAGATGTTGAGCAACTGAAACTCTCATATTACTGGTAGAAATTTTAAATGGCACAATCATTTAGAAAAAGGTTGACAGTTTCTTATAAAGATAAACATTCATTATGAGACCCAGAACTTTTGGTCTTATTTGTTCAGGTAAGAGAAATGGAAAACACGTATTTACTAATAAAACTTCAAGCAGTACAGGAATAGAGAGTCTTGGAATCTAGTAGAAATTGGTAGGTCATACCACACTAAAAGTCACAGATTGTGTGTTTATACTGAATTTATTTACTAATGATGTAGCATCATGTTTCTATCAATATAATAACCTTGTTGTGTGCTTACAAGTCAATAAACTTCTGAGTGATATTCTTCTTGGTGGATTTCACATGTCTCCATGAAGGTGGGTAGCATGATGGAGAGACGTCCTCAGGGAATCGTAAGACCACAGAAATTGCTTAAAACAAGCTCTTCAGATTCCTCATTTGTTACTAAGGATAACAAATGAGTCTCCTCTCCTTGGAATCTAATGAATTCCCTTCCACACTGGTTGTGAAATAAAAATGTACTGAGCTTTGCAACTTATAAGGGCACTATGGCAAATAAAAAGTCCAGGTATATAGCAGAGTGTCAGTTTCAGAATACAAAAGATTGGGTGACTAAAACAACAAACATTTATTTCTCATGTTTATGGAGGCTGAAAGTCCCAGATTAAGGCACCAGAAGATCTGGTGTCTGGTAAGAGCATGCTTCCTCTTCATTTCTTGATGTTTTCTTGCTGTGTCCTCACGTGAAGGAGAGCAGAGAGAGATCACCCCTCTCATGTCTGTTTTTATAAGGGCACTAATTTCATTCATGAGGGCTCCACCTTCATGACCTAATTACTTCTGAAATGCCCTACCTCCAAATACCATCGCATTTGGGAATTTAGGTTTCAACATATGAATGTGGGGTGTGGAAGGGGGTAAGATACAAATGCCCATAGCAATGACCTGAAGCATTCTACAAGTGACAATTCGTATGTTCTCTCTCAGGGAGAAAAAAGAAAAACTGTTCATTAACTCTTAGCTCATTTGCATATAAACAATTTGGTACAGTAATAATAGTTCCTAGACTGAACTGAAAAATCTAGGTTCTTGACCTACTCCTGTCTAATTGACTTGCTGCTAGTCTAGGACTAGGTCTTTCACCCATAAAAAGATGTTAAAACCAGTCACAAGACCAATGTGGGATGTAAATAAAGAGTGCTATACAAAAGCACAGAATTACACCTGAATATGAATTGTCTTACTCAGGGATTGTCCCTGGGTAAATTTTCCTTGAAAGGCACAGATGGGTTGGGAGGGAGTGGAGAGCCTGTGTAGTTGCCTTTGTTCTTCAAAGAATGTCAGTTTTCCAAACCAGATCTTTTCTTAGGCAGAAGAGAAGCAGTTCTGAGCTAGGTGAGAAGAAATTCTGAGCCAGGAACTAAAGCTCCAGAATAGAAAGAAGGCTAATGGGAAATTAAAACAACTAAGGCATGGGAGACAGGAAAATATGTGCATAGTTAGCAGCAGTTAAGTTTACTACAACATGATTTGGGGTCAAATATTAATAAAAGAGAAACAAAACTGAAATAGAAGCACCTAAACATCCCATATCTTTAGCTATGACAGTTTCTGGCAGCAGAGTTCTATTTTGGGCTCCTGTGTTAACTGAGAACTGTTAGATTGAAACATCCTTAGTTTTAAGGTTATTCAGACGTAAGTTTACTGTTTTAGGTTTTTTTTTGCCTGTGGTCATAATCATCTTAGTTAGTTTTGTTTTTTACAACCAACTTTTATTTATACCTATTTTTTAAGAAAGCCTCAATATTGTTTTTCCCACTTAACCTAGAATGTTTTCAAGGTGCTTCCCTCAAAAGATTAGCTGATGTTTGTAAAATATTTTTATAACAATTTAATTCAATTGCGCTTAAAATTTGCGATGTCCTGTGCTGGTCAGAAATAATAAGTAACACTAAACCCTTTTTAAAAGTCTTGGTGATTTATAAAATGAGATTTCAATTTATTCTTACCACCACTACCCTATTGTAAACAGTTGTAACATTTTCATTAGTATATATCAAGGATGATAAATCCACTTCACCATTTAATATATTCTTTCTAATCATAAAAGTAACATATTTATTGCAGAAAATCTGAGTAGAAAAAAACTCCATTTCTTAGAATACTTCATTATTCACATTTTTTCATTTTCTTTTTTCTATATACCTTATTTTACATATTTGAGCTCATACTGTATATAAACTGTTTTGATCCATCTTTTTCCTTGTCAACATTGTTCTAATCATTTTCTCTCATCATTAAACCTTAAATTCCCATTGAGTAGTTATATAAATCCATCATATAGATATATCATCATTTTGATAATATTTTACAAAAGTTGTATGCTTAGACTGCTTTTGGTATTTAGAAAATTTTACAAAGTTGACAGATGAAAAATATCTCTGTAAAAGTTTATATTTCTTTAATTACTAATAATATTACATTTGGATATATTTTGGATGTTAACCAATTTTTTTAATCAACTATGTTCCAGTTGTATGTATATGTTCTTAGTAGTTCTTACTAATTAATTTATATAATATTTTACATTAAGGATATTAGCTACATTAAGTAATATTTGTTTTAAATACTTAAAATGTGGCTTAGCATTTTTTTCTAATTATAAAAGTAAAACTCAATCATTAAATTTTGAAAATACAAGTAAGTACACAGTAGAAAATAAAACAGTCCATCAGCATTTCCAGCATTAAACGTTTATAACTGTAATTGAATTGATACTAGACATTCTTGTTGGTACTTTCTTAGTTCAGGTAACAATACAGAATAATAAAAAAGTTTATAAATATTTACATTTAGGATTTCTACGTAGTATTTCCTTATATAGATATGCCGTAATGAACTCATGTCTTAAAGATAGACATTGACAGCTTCTCACTACTCTGAACATTGTGATGTTCTTAAGATAAAGTGAAACTGTTAGAGCTAAGTATATTCGCACCCTTAACTTACTACAAATTACTCTTATAAAAACCTGTAGAATTCAGCTCCCCTGTCAGTGTTTAGAATCCCTGTTTCTTTGTAGCTCTCTAAAAATCAGCATTTCTATTTTTAATCAGCTTTGAGGTATGATTTACATATAATAAATGTACCATTTTAAGCATACTGATCAATGAGTTTTGACAAACATATATACATATTATATAACCACTACCCTATGCAAGAGGTAAAATGTTACCATCACCCCCAAAATTTTCCCCCTTGAACATTCTCATCAATCATCAACCCCTTCCTTGCACCCCAGGCCCTAGGTAACAACAGATGTTTCCTGTCAGCATAGATTTCAGTCTATCACTATACATTATATATATGTGAGTTTTATATAAATGGAATTATACACTGTATGTGTTCTTTAGGGTCTAGATTTTTTTGCTTGGCATGTTTTTGAGATCCATCTTTTTTGCTGCCTGAATCTGTATGTTACTTTTTATTGTGGAGTAAATGCCATTTTGTAGGTATGCCTGAACTTGTCTGTCGCTAGGGGAATGATGAAACATCTGGGTTGATTCTAGCTGGGAGCTGCTGTGAATAAAGCTGCTGTATACTTGCACAGGTCTTTAAGCCATGACTCTCTAAAACAGATACTTCATTTTCTTACCTGGGAGAAGATTTATGGACTCTAGGTGTATCATCCACTGTTTCAAGTCAAGCGCATTTCCCAAAGGAAAGCCAAACTTTGTTTTGGGATCAAATTAGCAGGATGAGGCAATGGTGCAGGATATAATTTTAAGACCATCTTGGAAAGCTACCTGATCGCCCTCCTCCTGTAGCAGCCACAAGTATAAGGCTCCTGTTGCTCACTGCCCTCTCCGCTTCTGTCTTCTGGCTCCTGACAAGTCTAAGAACTCTGCCAAGTCAGCCCCTGTCCCCTCCCATGATAGGGTAGGGTCAGAATAGAAAATAATGACAGGCATCATGCTGTTAAATGCCAGATCCCCTAAATAGCTCCAGGGGGCGGTAGCAGGGTCAGGCCACCCGTTGGCCACCTAAGCATCTGCCCAGTGGCCTCTAGGGTATTCTATGCCCTCTTCTCAACTACGTGAGAATTGAGTGCTTGTGGCTCAAGAGACTTCTGAGCAGTGATTTGCAGGACCTATCCTCTGGAAGTAGAATGCAAACTTCTTGAGAGCAAGAATCATGCCTTATACAAATTTTTATAAGTGGAAGGTATACAGTAGGTACTCAGATATAATTTTGGGTAATGTATAGTCAAATGAGACATGGGTATTCATTCCTGACTTATAAACACTCAATAGTATTTGATACTTAAAGTAGGGTTGTTAACAAATACTTCCAAAAAAATATTTTTCCCTGAGGTTGAGATTAAGGATGGAAAGGAAATTGTATCTTCTGTTTGGTTACGTTGTACATGTGGTTTTGGACAGCTGTCTTTTAAAAAAGAAACCAAAAGACAGCCATTAAATACTATTCCCTCTCTTTTCTCTCCAACCCCTTTCTGTGGCAAGCTCTGAAATTCTGAGATTCTAAGAGTGGTTTCCAGAAATTAAATTTGAAAAACAGATTAATTTGGGAAGTTATTTTTGTTAAAGCAAATGCCATTTGTATAATGGGAATAAGATTTTACAGAGAAAAAAAAATGGTTTTCAGGAAAATAACTCCCATAATAAAGGAAGAGAGTTCATTAAAGTAAAGGCCCAAGATTTGCAGACTAAAAAAGCCTTGACTGATTATACTTGATTATGCAAGGCCTCTTTGACTAACAGAGCTCTTGTCCATTGCTCGTGGCAGAATGAGGTTTTTATGGGGTGTGTCTTTCTTCCCTCAGTTCACTGACATTGGGACCTTCGAGACCATGTGGCAAGTCAAGTTCTACAATTACCACAAGCGAGATCACTGCCAGTGGGGAAGCCCCTTCTCTGTCATTGAGTATGAATGCAAGCCCAACGAGACACGCAGTCTCATGTGGGTGAACAAGGAGTCCTTCCTCTGAAGATGGCTCTTTCCGATGTTGCTGGACAATCTCTTCAGAAATCTACTTTCAGATAACCCAGCACAAGCCTTTGCCAAGGCACAACACACTGTTGCCATTTCCCATTGGGTGCCAATGACCTACTAGCCCTGATCATTTTGAAAGTGTAATTCCCCTCTGATGCAATGTCCCTGACATAAAAATCCTGATGTACCATGCCCGAGAAGATCCCTTTCTGTATTCTGTGTTGGTGTTGCTGCATCCAATGGTTTCCGGGCATGCTGTTGACCGCTTGTCAGGAGCTCAATAGAATTGGCAGGTGTGTCTCTTACTTAAGGGTTCCACTGAAAGACTGTGGTGTTTTGTTTCCAAGTTGAGTAATTCCCCCTTTTTTGTTAAATATCTAATCAAAAATAACAATATGTGTGGGTTCTCTCTGTAGTGTAATATGGTAACATATAACTTGCAATGTTTTCCAGCTTTCAAAGCAGGCTTTGTGAATATGCTACAAACAGCAGGGAATGGGACGCAAATGTGCTTCCTGTAAACAGCTTGGCTTTTGCAGGGAAGGATAACAACAAAATAAAAGGACAAATACTTAAGGAGTATTTGTAATGTATTAAAACTTTTTGAAGTAACCACAGTAGGAATGGGACAAAGTATTGCTTCGACCACTGTTAAGGAAGGTGACAGGAATTAGAGGCTCACCTCTTTGGTAAACTGTCGTAGTGTTCAAACATGCATATTGATGGCACCCCAGTGACCCCTTTACTTGAACTTTGTAAAACTGTGTATGGAACTGTAATCAACTTTTGATATTTCTTAATAAAGGTATTGAAAATCATGCCCTAGCTTGCTTTTTGAAGTTGTGTAATGTCTATCTAGCAGGTGGACTTCTGTTCCAGGCCAGCTCCACTCAGATCTCCATTTATGTTGCACAGTGAGGGGATACACCCAGAGCAAGATTAGCACACTTACTCATAATCAACTCAGACAAGTTAATAGGAGTGCTCCAACCAGCTCTAACAGGGCTAGCACACACTCGGGCACTGGGCGGGCAACCAGAAAATGCTTGTCCCTGTCCTCTCTTCATCCCTCCCGCTGCCAAGACCCTTCCTTGTCAGCTGGCTATGTACTGAGCAGCTGGAGGATATGGTGTTATAATGCTGCGTGTACTCCAGGATGGAGACCTCCTTGCCTGGGGTAAGTCCTTTGCCTGGTAAGTCCCAGGGCTCTGCACTTCCCTGGCACAAAGCCCGTACTCCATGCAGTTGGAAGATGAATTCCCTGAGAAGGAAAGAAGCTTCTTGTTGAAAAGTAGCAGCAAGATTGTCATACTCACTTGGGACACACAAATCCTATTGTGTCGGAAAATGTTAGTTGGGGATTTGTTTTTTGCTACCTGTAAACTCCTCATGTAAAAATATGCAAGGTTTGTGGGAGTACTGTGAAGAGTCAGTTTATCACAGAACTGAATTTGGAAGTCTGGCACCAAAACCCCTTGCACCTCTTATGTCGCTTACCTGCAGTGAGGCTGTACTGCCAGCAGGGCACAGCAATGCCTTGGATTTGAGCTAGTTAGGGGCGCTGTTAAAATAGAACATTGTTTCTCAATTTGCTTATATTTTGAAAATACTAGTATCTATTAGTATCTATTAGAATAAGCATTAACCAATTTTTAATTACTGTGTTTTTTAAACCAACCCACAATATTTGAAACAGACACTGAGATGTTTAAAACAGTGGATTTACTATAAGGGTTTAAGTTTTCTTCCGGAATACCCAATAGAAAGGCAGTTATTAGAAACTGGAAAAATGTGAAAACTGCATATTTTAATCTATTGAAGCATTTGATGAGTAAATATTTTCATTTGTGAAACAGCAGGTTTTAAGAGTGACTCATCTATCAGAGCTTTAGCTTTTGTTTTGAGGGCACAAGCAGTATCATGGCTTTTGCAGTTTTCCATTTTTTTTTTCAAATTTGAGGCTTCAATTTTTTCTTTGGAATGACTCAAAGCAGGGCTGGGGAAAACGTGGCCTATTGTAGCTGCACACACCCTCCCACAGAAGAGCAGGAAGGTGAGCTCTGGTCTGAGTCTCACAGACACGCTGGTTGAACCTAAAAGGTCACCACCTTTCTATGTCTCTGTGTCTGAATCAAGGAGTTAGGCTAGTACAGTTCTAAAGCTCTTTAAGATTTGTGATTTGTACCTCTATAGTGCTTTTTTTTAAAGAGTGTGTAAGTTTGTGTGTGTGTGTGTGTGGTTTCCTTGAGGCGAATAGGTAGTGAATCAGAGGAGGTGGGGAGGAGATGGAGGTGAAGTAAACAGGAAATCTTAACAGCTATTCTGTCACGTTAAGTGATCTCTCTTGGCATATACTGTTCTACTTACGACTGGACTGAAGCCCAGTCCTCTCTGGCTACTTCTCGCATAGCTCTCCGCCTCCTCCAAAACTTGAGTGCTCAGCTATATCAAGCTGCTGAGTTGTAACTTTGCCCCTCAGCCATCTGGAAGGGCTATTTTTATACAAGTTTGTAGCCATGTTTCTCTACTTCGAAGCATCAGATGGCTACCCAGAATCTTGACAAACTATGCCATCCTTCTAATTACAAGGATGATGAAAACACTTTTGAACAGGTGGAACAGTAGAAATACCTTGAATTGATATTTTGTGACACCTCCCTTATTGAGAAGCCACTTATCCAGCCATCTAAACTATCTGTATCACAGTTGAGAACAGAAAACATGCCAAAAAAAATTAAAGATCCTGTCACAGATGTCACAAACTCCATTCACTAACAGCTTGGGTCTTCTCTCAAGACCTCATGACTCCTATTTTAGGATAGTTCAAACACAGAGGGTGATGTGGTTTCTGGCTCCTAAAAAATTGGAAGCAGCATAACTGGAAGAAAGAAGGGAATCTGTAGAGGTAGACATACTGAAAAAAATTTTTTTTCATGCAGAGAGGACAAAGAAAAAGTGTATAAAGCATAACAGATAGGGACTATCCTATAGTATAGGGACATACTATGTCTGTACTATATTGGGATATACTATAGTACAGGGATTATATCGTATGCTAAATTACAGTAGTTTCTGTGGATATCAAATAAAAATCGATGTACATAATCATGGCCCTGATTTATTTAGGAATATGATCCATTGCCCTCAGAAATATATCGCCATGATTCAGTGTTTAAGAGTTCCAATTCTGGAGTCAAGATGCCTCAATTTAAATGCCGGCTCAACCACTCATTTACTGTGGACCTTAGGCAAGTTATTTAATATCTCTGTGCTTCAATTTTCTCATTTGGAAAATAAAGATAATATTTAAACAGTATTTACCTAATGGAGTAGATGTGAGGATTAAATAAGCTAATATAAAACCTGAATTGTGTCTGGAACGTAACATTATTAATTGACACATTTTGTTAAAGAAACAGCAAAAAAAAAAATTTCAAGCGAAGTCATTAAAAATGCCAAGAGAAAAACTGAAAGTGTTTAAAGGAGTAAAACTCCTTTTCCAAGGATATTCCAGGTATGGATTTGAAATAATGGCCAAAGTTTATGCTCTATTTATATGCCAAAAAAAAAAACCATAAGAGAATGCATGTAGGGACAATGCTTTTAATTATTTAAAAAAATAAGTAGTTTGAAGTAGTATGCTCTAAGAAATGCTAGGACAATGAGAAGTCTTCATCAACAGGCTTCATCAACTCTTGTTTATAAAGATCCAATTTTGAATAATATGCAAACATCAAGACAGAATCAGAAAACTGAATATCTGGTAAAGGTCAAGAATGATATCAAAAGTTCTATTTGTTATTTCTTTAAATCATCCTAACAATTCTGTCTCTGTTTTACAGAGGAAAAAATAAGTCTCTGCTGTGGAAAAATAAGCCTCAAGCTTAAACAGCTAATTTTAGAAGAAACTGTTTGATCCTCAGTTTCCTCATCTATGAAATCGAGACAATACTCTTCACTTCACAATGGGTGTTAGGATTAAATAATACTTTCTTTTCTTTTCTCCCCATCACCTTCCTCCTGACACATTTCATTGAATATTACTTCATATTGTGCCCACACTGGTGCAGTGTTTGTTCTGGTGGTTTTGCCTTCATTTGTTTGCAGCCTAGTAGATCGGTTGCTTTCCCCAAAGAAAAATCACTGTGGATATAGTAAAATATACATATATATATTTATATACATACATACATATGTGACTTAAAAATTATTGCCAATAAATAAAAGTATTCAGTTTCTAGAAGCTCAGTATTCAGTATAGAAACAAACTCACAGTCCTCTACACAGCAAATTACTTGAAGATGACCTTTCCTCTTTGAATATATACTAAGTACTGTTACAGCACTAGATCAGACATTAAAAATTTTCCTTAACATATATGGTATCCCATTCCCTATTTGCAAACAAATGAAAAGTCAGACAATATGTTTGGTTACACCCTAGTGTCTTAACCACAAATCCTGGCAGGCACTCTCATTTCTGACCACAGCGGATTGCTGATTCTCCTTCAGATATACCGAGTCAGAGCAGCTTCCTTACCACTGCACAGCCTGTTCCCTCTGCTTGGAATGCCCTGCTCCATTTTATACCTAGCAGATGCCTTCAAGTGCCAGCTTAAATGTCACCTCAGCTATGAAGTTTTTCCTGACTCCTCTACAATGTTGAGTAAAGAATAATTTTGAAATACTGTTTATTCAAATATTTTATTTTATTACCCCATTTCTCAAAGGTGTCACTGGCCTCCATCTAACTTTTGCTTTTCTTAAGTTCTCTGGAGGGCTTCCACGTGTTCTTACTGGCTCACTGAAATGAGCTGACTCAGTAAAAAGGTGATGAGATTCTAGAAAGAGCTCTAACTGGCTGGCTGGCTGGCTGGCTGGCTGGCTGGCTGGCTGGCTGGCTGGCTGAAAAACCAGCCAGCAAGTGGTTTGGAATATATTATCCTTTAGTGGGTTAGTTTTGCTCTCTTTAAAGGAGACTAAGAGAAGGAAAGTAGATGAGAAAAAGGTTTTGAATTTTCTCATTGCTCTAAATGAAAATACCTTTTCATGGTAGCATTATTTATGATGATGGTACTAAGGTGTGTAGTTCTTTTAAGGAGTTTAGCTCTGACAGGATAATCATTCGTGCTGCCCACAAAATGTTTTCAGCCCTCCCCTGTCTAGGCATATGATAGGACTGCACTTCCATGACCTGGGGTGGGGTCATGTGAGAGTAGCTTGGGTCAACGATCTGTGAGCAGAAGTGACCTGTGTGCTTCCAGACTGAAATATCCCACTATCTGCGCACTACCCAGCAGAGCTCTCTTCCCCTTTGCACAGAACCAGCTTCTGTCAAGGTGATCCATCATCCTGGGTCCTGGGTTAGGAAGACAGGGAGCAGAACCCTAGCCAACATAACAAGTGGACCTGTAATATAAATGAGAAATAAACCTTTCTCCCGAAACTTTTATTGTGAAAAACATTGAAATATACAGAAAATTGAAAAAAAAACAACAACTATACAACAAACATCCACATACCCAATACCTGCATTTCACAAGTAACATTTTGCTATGTTTGGTTTATCACTTAACTAACCATTATCCATCCATCCACTCACCCATCCTTCTATGCTGTCAATCCTTTACATAACAGACTTTCCTGATCTACAACATCTGAGGAGCCCTAACCAGTTACTCTCCTTTTCTGCTGAGCATCCTAATGTGGAACTACTCCAAAAATAAAAATAAAAATTGCTCTAAGTTAGTTCTAAGACATCATGTCCTGCTAGGGAAAATTTTAAGTCATTGGATGAATTAGGAGACAAATTAAACCATC